CATATTTTTTTATGCATTATCTTCTCTACTTTAACCTCTCTATCATTCAGCCGAAGCTATTGCTGTTTTGAGTTAATAGAAGTTGAATTGAATTTGCGTCAAGTAGTAGTTACCTATAAATAGCTGACAACTGTGGAGTTGTGTTGAAAAGAACATCGTGTGTCAAAAATTTTCCTACTTGTTGAAGCTACTTGTTTTTCTGCTCATCTTAGTCAGAGAAATGCACTTTTGTGGCATCATTAATGTGGACCGGCAGGACCAATAAGCCGCCTAGCTTATGATCATGCTGGTTCATACTGCTTCTGTCATCTTTATTTGTAATTATTCATTTATTTATATCAAATGGCAGGCATTTTGATAGTTATCATAAGCCCTTTAGTTGACTTCAGGGTTCACATCAAAGTGAAAAAAAAGTGGAGAGGGGGAGGGGGGAACAGAAGAGTATTTGAAAGATGTAAAAGAGACAGACACAAAGGTAGAGTGAAAAAGGTGAGGTGAGTACTATGGAAGTAGTCGAATATGACATACAGTGAGGTGATGGTGTTTTGAAGTCGGAAGTCAACTGCCGGTTAATAGACATTTTTGCCGTATGAGTATACGTTGCCCAGAGTGCACCACGTGGAGGTAAGTCTCTCGCACTCCCTTCTTGCTCCATAGATTATTGTCGCAAGATCAAGGGTCTTATCATATGTAGAATCCAACAAGGTTTGTTTATTAAAATGTTGTTAGTATGAGAAATTAAACTGGCTTCAAAATATTATGCAGCATAAAATTCTGGACACAATTGCCGTTGTTCTTCGAACGATGGAACACTTTGAGCAAGACCAATGGAATGCAGTGTTCCAAGTTAAATGTCAAAGCTCAGGGGTTAGAGAGGTTCTGTCAAAGAATATTGGTGATTAAGGCAATGCGGATTGCGTCTTAGAAAGTGTCGTTTTCCCGAGAATATTAACTGTTAAACAGGTTTTAGTTTCTCTACCCCTGTTAATCGAATGCTGATTTAATTTTATCTCCGCCTTGCAAATTTGACTACTTTTATTGAAGCCTCTTCTTTATATGTGTTTAGACGGTGTCAATTTTGGAGCAGCGTTTGACAATCTTGGAGGACACTAGCTCAACAAAGGCGTTGACATAATCGACGAGCAACTTTTTTTGGCTTTTAACTACATATCGGTCTCACAATCAATTTCATGCCCTATGTACATCACCTCAGTCCTTACCCCTTTGCACTTAATTACATCATTATATGACACAGTAAAATTGGTTTTTTATGATTGACAAATTTTTTATTTGCAGAAAAAAATTACGGCTATCGTTTGCTTAATCAAAAGGTCGCATATAGGTATTCATTTTGAAACTACTTTATGTCAGCTAACTTGATTTCAGGTAGCCCACCTTGTCGCATTTCTCTTCAGTACGCTGGGCAGTACGCCGCGATACCAGGGCATTGAAGGAAATTCCAATTTCTCTTTTTTTCTATCACTAAAAACCTTTCTTCTCGAAATTGGGGGAGAAATGTGTGCAGATCACTGGTGTAATTTTTATTATCCAATCAATTATGAACTGTAGATGGAAGTAGATAATTTGTCTCCTTCATTTGACGTCATCTATGTGCCACATTGAATTCATTTACTAATGCAATCACAGTCTCCTCACAAGACGATCGATGAAAACTCAAACGTGCATATTTCGGGACCGCCTTTTCTAAGCAGTCATCATCAGTTATCATTTGCTTTTGACAGTAATCCCGCTTCAGCATTAGACCGACGAATTATAGTGAGAAACGACTCTTTTCTCTAGAGATAAATTTTCTTCTTATTATTAAGCAGAAAAGCTAGATTAGGGAGGGGGGAAGAGAGGGTATGCTGGAGAAGATACAGATATGAAATGTCCACCTTCTGGAAGCAGTATACAATGGATTGGCGCTAGATGCTGAAACGTATCAATATCTCAAGGGCCGAAGAGCAACAGGTAAGGCTTCGACTTAGAAATATTCGCAATTTTCGGTCAGAAAGTCACATCGAAATCTGATATTTCTTGTATTCTACTATTGGGGGTGTGCAATAGACTTACCTCCACGTGGCGTTCTCTGCGCACCGTATACTCATACGGCAAAAAAGTCTATTAACCGGTAGTTGACTTCTCACTTCAAACTACCATGACCCCCCTATATGTCCTACATTCTCATACGGCAAAAAAGTCTATTAACCGGCATTTGACATGACTTCAAACTACAATCACCCCACTGTATGTCAAATTCGACTACTCACCGCATGGCTTATTGCAAGTCATATTCTTCCCCTAACACAGTACTCATCTTACCTTTCTGAGCCTTCGTGTCTGTCTGTCTCTTAAATCTGTGAATCACTTTTCTGTTCCCCCTCACACTTTGATGTTCCTCCCCTCTGTGAAGACCAAAGTCAGCTAAAGGGCTTATGCCATTTTAAATAAATAAATAGACCTTCCACTATTGTGTATGTGATACCCTTGGACCTTGCGCCCCTCTAATACTGCGAGAAGTCTGATTATGGGACTACGCCCCTCCGGATCAGTGCATTTTCCCAGGCGACCACGAATCCAAGTTTCAACGAAGGTGCCTTCGCCTTCTCAATTCCATTTATCCAAACATTCTTTCGAGTCAGTAGATCCCCAAGAGAGGGGAAAAGGCAATTAAGGAATTTGTCGGTTTGATCAGGTCGTGGTGGTCGAGAAAGCCAACTTTGGCAATTCTTGAGCCAAAATAATGACTTGGCCTGTGGTCATTTGTACGCAACTCATTGCTAAGTAGAACCCAATCGCACTACTAGCTTGCTCTCCGATTCTAGTAACACAAAAAAATTAGCGAGTACTTCCAGCGTCCAGTCTCCTGTTGCATTGAGCCTTGCTAACAACAAGAGCCGATGAAACGCCTTGTCTGGATGCTAAGATGGGCTTCAATACGTTCATGTTCAAAAGGCCTCTTTGTACAAACAAAAATCACGCATCTTACAGCCTATGCAAATTAACAAAGTGTTACTGTTAGTAATGCACTATAATAGTGTGATAATGTTCATTAACAAAACAACCGTCTCTTAAGAAAATCAGATTCTGAAAATAAGTAAAATAGATGTTGACAGTTATTAAATTTGGCAGCTTATCCAAGAGGAGGGGGAGGGGGACGGGAATACGTGCACTTTTATGACTCGTTATCAAATTGGTTGGAGACGATTTGAAGGATAGTAGAAGTGGGAGGAATTTCCCACTCGAATAAGTGCCCATTCGGAGTTACCTAAGTCATCGCCCCATTTGATGACATTCACAGTGTCGCCAGGTCGAAGTTGGACGGTTGTTTGTTTGTCCGAATAAGAAAAGAGGACCTTAGCTCGGCCTACAGGGTTTGGAGGCCTGTGGTGGAACATCGCAGGATCCGGATTGGCGTTTGCAACGATTGCCCGCCCTATCGCCTCGGAAACGTTGTTTTGCTTATTTTTTGGTCGTTTCAAGAGGAGCTTTTTGTTCCCTTTCCAACCTCTTTCGACGCCATCGATTATAGCTGCCCCACAAAGTCGATCCAAAGCGATAGGTAATGAGGGTTGAACAAGTCTGATCTGTGCTTTCCAGGATTCCACATCTTGATCAATCCTCCCTTTAACTTCCGACTTGTCTATCCAACCCTTATTTTTTGCCTTTAAAATTCAAACGAAAAGGTGTATAAGAGATTCGTTATAATGCACTTTTAAATTGAAAGATCTGCTGCGGTGAGCTAGGTTTTCATTCTTTAAATACGAATGACCCTTGATACAGCAAACCTAGGCCAATTCTAGAACCTTCCTAAACCTCTAAACCTACAGAGATAATTATAACTACCTGTACTTTTTGCCCATTTTTTGGCCAATTGTGCAAATATTTAAGGAAATGTGAGACCGAGCCATTCTCTCCACTTAATTACTCTGATTTAATAAGTATCATCATTGGTACTATTATACGTTTGTGGGACACGTTATCCCATTATCGCGCGGCGTTACTAATACGTGCGGCCGTATAACTTTTCGCGCAAACGACAATAATACAAGTGACCAATCAGAAGCCGCCAAGTGTTTATAACTAAGCAGCCAAGCTGAATAAAACTAGACTGTTTGTAAACACACTTTTCTTATCATTACGTGACTGAATATACGTGTTCCTTATTATACGTCTGTTTCCCCAATAGCTGGGCTATAGCTTAGCTAGTTCCGGGAGTCTAGCTAGATGTTGGAGATTCTGCCACGGAGATTTCTGATTAGTTAGGCTTTATAAAAGTAGCAAACCGCTACAAGTTTGTATTAGACAATGCACTGTGTTCATTTAAAGCACGCTTTACCAATTCCTGCTCGGTGAAATAAGCGGTTTAAAGGGTTACAAGTCACTTGCTTGGAAATAAGTGAAACCACCTGGATACCAAAATGTGCAAATCTACCCATATAACGTAGATTATCACTAAAATTTGTCAACTGGTTTTTATATATAATGCAAAATATCATGGGCTGAACTCACTCTAGAACCAACGAATCATATAAAAATGTGGAATATTAGAACGTGATGGTTCGAAATACCACCTTTAAGTAAATTAGCGATCAAAATCTATAAAATTAAATTTTTGACATCCTAGAAACACTTGGCAGAACTTCTTTTACTCAAAGTCTCGATACTTTCTAATGAATATATATGTAAGGTGATGTTTTTGCCAACTTAATTTTGGTTAATAAACCTGATCAAAATCTTGCAAGTCAAAAGAATTTCAAACTAACGTATCGATGCATAATGCCACCGGGTTTGATTGCGAGGAAGAGCATTAACTCGTGGACCTTCTGGAGGTAAAACAGAAAGAGATTCCTGATTACTGTTTCTGTTCGATTTAAAATTCCTTCCGAAATTGTCATGGCTCGAGATTCGTCCGCGCGATATTTACTAATTGCATAGGTTAGATTAGGTTTTGCCTTCTACAAAAGTGCAAAGAAAGAACATCATAAAATTATGCCCAGAGATCACCTCTCATTGACTCAAATTAACCCCACCAATTGAGAGGTGGGCAAGATTGTTAAAACTTCCACCCTTATCATTAGGAGAAGAAATCAATCTTACCTATGCCAGAAAAAGCTCCGTGGCTCTAAAAATGAGAGCAGAATCATTCACACCAACCTTTCAGTTTACTCAGCGTAGGGAACGCAACTTGAGCATGTCAAAACTAGGGGCCTCCCAGCCAATCAACGGCCAAATCCAGTATGTGGTTAGCCAACCAATCAAAGCGAAAATTTATTACGTGGTTATCACGCCAGAAAGTGTATATCATTACTATGTTCCCCATGTTTAATTAGACACTACCAAATAAATGCGTTCCACATCATAAATCTATTTCCTCTATAGCTTTACGGCAGCTTAGCTAATCCCAAGAGAATTTGTCTTAACGATTTTCGAGTATAGTTAAACTCAATTAGTGTTGCGACCCACTACACATCTGAAATCTGACAACTTTTTGTTGAATGTGCTTATAATTATTTCAGAATCTCTTCACCCCCTCCCCTCCTCCCCCCACCCGCCCTCCCTTAAGGTTAAAAGTAAAAAAATCCCGTCATCCACCTTGAAGGCGAACGTTTGTTAATTCAAGTGAAAAGTAGGCTGTAATAAAAACTGAGCCATATTTAATAACAGTGTCTAGGTATCTATCGTCCCAATTATATATTAGAAAAAAATTTTTATTTATAGGGAAAAAGTAAAAAACAACAGATTTTGCTAACTCCACTTTCACCTAATCTTTCACGGTCAGTCCTTTCTTCATTACAAAATCCCCCCCCCCCTATCAGGGAAGTTTAAAGTTGCAAATTGACTTTAATTAATTAATTGAATTAAGTCAATGACCAAGCACTCGCTAATGTGGCGATTTTTCAATTAGTTTCCATAATAGACGGTAAATAATCAAACGATTCATCATTTTGGAGTAGGGGTTGGGGGGGGGGGGGGTGGGGGGGGGGGGGGTACGTGTGCTTAAAGGCCATAATTCCACATGGAATTCTTCTTGCAACATTCCTGGCAGAAATACAGTAGCAATTCTTGACAGGAAATCCTCCTTGGGGCTTGGTGTGAGATATCAACAACTAAATATAGGGACTATTTGAAATTGTATGCAAAGTAAGCTATTAAAATCTTAACTGTGAAACTCATTAAGGCGTATCGATTTCGTGGTCTCAAGCACTTGAATTTACGCTCATTTGGCATATTGCATAGTCTAAATTAAGGTTTACGAGTTAGCTGTCAATCAAAGTATATTTTTGAAATGAACTGTGTGATTTCTGCTAATATCATCGGGTATCGAGCCATAATTTAAATAATCCTAATGTCGGTCTCTGTGTTCCTCATGATAAAAAATGCATGAAAATGATGTCACGCTTGTTTGAACAAAATTATCCACTTGTTTAAAAAGAATGCAATATTCTATTTTGTTTGCATTTTTACGTAATTAAGCACTTAATAATTATTATTATTTCAAATGGCAGGTGTTTTGATTGTTATCATTACCCATTTAGCTGACTAATAGGCCTTTAACTCTGAGGCATTCTTTGCTTTAGAGCCAACTACAAAAACTGTGACGGATTCGGCTGTAAAAAATTCTATTTAAAATTTCCCATTTTTTGTCATAAAAAAAAAATAGCTACGCCATGATGTGCGAAGGTTTGGGGTGTGCGATAGACTTACCTCCACGAGATACACCCCAGTAAACATATTTTCATACGGTAAGAGTCTATAAACCGGCAGTCGACTTCTGACTTCGAACTATCATGACCCAACTGTATGTCTTATTCGATCACTTCAACCGTACTTATTCTACCTTTGTGTCAATCTGTCTCTTTAACATCTTTGAATCACTCTTCTATCCCCCCCCCTCTCCACTTTCTCTCACTTTTATGCTCCTCCTCCTCTCTGTGAAGCCCGAAGTCAGCTAAAGTACTAATGATAAGCAGCATAAAGCCCGCAATTTGAAATAAACAATAATAAATAAATGTTGTACCAAAGTCCAACTTGCCTTTGTTCTTTCAATGTCCTTGGCACGACCTTTTAGTTTTGTCATAGGCGACTTCAATTTCTTTAAAGGAACACCGACCAAATACAGTCGATTCAAAACGAAGCTGGTCGATTTATCAAACTAAATAACGAGGTTGGTTTTGAATTGAATTCGGAACGAAACTCACCTTCTCTGAATTGAAATTCTCGATACTATGATTAACCATGGTACTGTGGAAGTCCAGAACCGCGGAAATACTTTGAACATTATCCAAAGATACCAAGAGACCATGAGATGCCTTGATGAGACATCGTCTGTCCCCTATCAGCGCCTACAAGTGTAAAGATTTAACGAGCTCAAAAGTGGACACTTACTTTCAAATCCTTACTGTGATTTTCAATCCATTTGCATAAATTGTCGAGTAGAAAGGCTAGGTTTTTCTGCTTCTTTCGATAGTACATCATTCGGGAATCCTCCTAACATTTTGAACAAAAAAAAATCAACAAAGAATAGAACTATAAAACCGGTAATAGGCAGCATAACGATGAGATAATGTAGTCAGAAAAAAATTCGGAAAAATCCTAATTTTGCATCTGTGCTTTATGCGAGAAAAATGACATCCACAATACGACTAGTCGTCGTCCAATAGAACTTACCTTTTTTATAAAGGGGTGTGCGGTGCACTCAGGACAACGTATACTCATACGGCAAAAATTCTATTAACCGGCAGTTGACTTCCCACTTCAAACTACCATGACCCGGCTGACTGTCATATTCGACCACTTTCACAGGACTCATCTCACCTTTTCTCTGCCTTAGTGTCTTACTCTATTATATCTGTGATTCAATCCTCTATTCCCCCTCTCGAATTTTTCCCACTTTGATGTTCTTCCTTCCCCCCCCCCCCGTGAAACCCGAAGTCGGCTAAAGGGCTAATGATAACTATCAAAACGCCTGCCATTAGAAATAAATGAATAAAATTTATTAGAAATATTTAACCAAACAGCAACTAGATCTCAGATTTGGCCGAAAGTAGATTTATCTTGACAGCAAATAATTTTATTAAAATAAGTCTGATTATCTTCAAATTGTTAAATCCATGATTCTGATTTAAATCCATTCATAAAATATCGTGTTTAACTCACCAAGTTGCCATCTGCATCCAGTTCAAGACTTCCTTGGTAAGTACTTGAAGAACTATCTGAAAATGTGACGAATATGGGAATTTTCTTATAATTTAAAATGAGGTCATTGTAAATTTTCCTTCAGATCAAACAAATTGACTTTGATTATGGCCTCGGAATAGAAAAAAGTGAGTCAAATTTGAGGAGCATCTAATCCTATGCATATGATTATTAATAGTGGAAATGCGTGTAAAATGGGTTTTAACTATGCTCTTGGAAAGTTGTCTGAGGAACTAACAAGAAATTGCTATGAAAGAAAACGAGTTTAGGATACGGTGAATGATTGGATGTAGATTCCACAGATTACTTAACATCAATCGCAAACCATTGGTGTAAGCAATTGAATTGACCCTCAATGTTATCGTCCTTCGGTAAATGAATGAAAGACTAGAGGACAATTGTGAACCAAAAATTCACAAAACTCCGAAAAATTTAATGATAGACGCCTTCGCTGAAAGGCAAATACCAGAGTAGTTATACGGAAATGGGTTTGGAACGCATTCAAAGAATGTCATGTCTTGAGGACTTTCTCGGTAAGTAGAAGACTCTTATTAGATGAGTAAAGGTGAAAGTGGGAAACATAACCAAAGATGAGATAGATTTCTTCTGCTAACATGTCTTCAAACTCTAGTGCCTCAATCTCTCCCCAGTTAATAAAACTGATCTGCCTTATTCCCACTTGGTTAGATGTCACTCTACATCCAAGACGTGTGTTTGCCTCAAATAATAATAAAAAAGAACTCTAGCATTGCCGGACTTACAATCCACGTCCGTTCTTTTGCAAGCATCAGCTTTATCGCAGACTGTTTGAATAGCAGCAGCCGCTGCCAAAACACAGGGGTAATCAGGATGATTATCTGGTGTAAACTGAAAGAGAATCAGAAGCCCGGCTCAAAGATTTGAAGGACAATAAAAATCCAATTGGATAATAATAACTGCATATATATATTTATATATAGATATATATGTAAACCTTTTTTAGTCGATTCAAAATGCCCATAATATGGAAGGGCCTTTGAAAGAGTTTGAATAATCGATCTAGTAAGGTTGTTATTGTGCTCTCTTTTTTCTGCAACAATTCATCAGCCTTCGCAAAGTAATTTGTTAATTGTGGACGCTACAACAAAAACAACAGTTCCGAATAATCCAGATATGCAGATATAAATTGAAATAATTCTCGGTAGCATACATGCTCTACAATTTGCGGATCGAATTCTTTTATGTAATTGATAATCACTTCACTGAGTCTCGGCAAATGTGGCATCAAATGGGTGGCTGAAAAATTAGATTACTGTGAATCGTTTCAGGCAAAAGAAGGCGAAATAAATTAAATTACTCGCCTTCGACTTACCAATACTGGCATGGGAAAGCTTGTTTCCTGGAGCTTCGGAAACGGCTTTGTTATAGGCTGCAAGAATTTCCCCCGAAGAAGAAATAAAATCTGGCAAATTTATTTTTATTGCAGCCAAATCCTCCGCAAATATCTGTAAATATATATATATATATATGTGGAAATAAATCCAAGTTGGGTGAAATAAATTAAAATTCAATTTATTTGTTGCAATATTTTCTAGAAATTGTTATGACCATTTGATAATAATTAATTTGAAAATCAAAACTACCTAAACCCCGAGTTTCCTTAAAATTTTTTTAGGTAGCTTTAATAAAAGCATATATATATATATATATATATATCAATTTATGGATTTAAGTAGAATAGTGAATAGGACCTAAGCAAAAAATCAAACAAGAAAAGTCTGTAAATGTTCTCTTATAGTTAGCAGTCTTAAAGTTCATTCACGTACACAATAACAATTTTTTCCTGAAATTAAATAATTGACAAAATTATTTTCTAATGGCAAAAATATTTTTGGAAGAGCTATGAAGTGTTCAAGAAATAGATACAATAGACATGTTCTATGCGATACGTCATTTTCTCTGTAGCTGGGCTGTAGCTTAGCCAGTTCTGGGAGTCTAGCTAGATGTTGGAGAACCTGCCACAAAGATTCCTGAGTCAGTTAGGCTTTATCAGTGTATCAATCCGCTACAAATGCAAGTTGTCAAATTTGAGGCAAATCAAATAAATAGATAAATGACAAGTAATTAAGAGCGATTCTAACTCTTTTGAAAAAATTCCAGGTTACTGACTAAATTCGCATAAAAACATCACACATATGCTCAATCAAGGATAAAACAAAAATGAATAATTCTATAACATCTATTGTTAGTTCAAAGGTAACCATTAATTGGAAATATGTAAAGTTAATAAAAATGTACTCACTGGTACGCCAATCTGACCATTAGAAAGAATTTCTGAGAGGTATGTCATTTGTACGTAGAAAAGCTTCTCATTTTCGATGAGTTCATTAACAACATTGGATCGATCTCGTTCTGTTTTTTCATCTAATTGAATGGAAATAATATTTTTTGGGGGAAGTTTCGGTGGTGAATTTGAGGGTAACTTGGGATAGTAGTGGTCCTTTCTGTGAACATAAGTATTTTCATCTCCTATACCATTTGTTTGGGGTGATGTGACTTTTAAATAGGATGGAATATCTAAATTTAAATTAAATTCAATAAAGCAATCAACTAGAATGGTGTACTTTTAGGTCTTTCAGGTATAGGAGGGGGATTAGGGTCAGCGGCTGAAAAAAAAGAATATAGAAGTTAACTTTTACTAAAGTATATATTATCGTCGATAAGTGAAAATTTTACCACCGGTTTTATTGGGTAGAGGAGGAGGACCGTCATTGTCATAAGTGGATAGATGTTGAATATGCTGCATTAGTCTACAGCAATTGAGTGAAATTATTTTAGTAAACGAAAAAGGTGGGTAAATTAGAAAAAGTATATGTAAGAGAAAAAGTTTTCGATGCCTTTATTTCTTATTATTAACATTACAATTATATGAAATAAAAACAGAGAAAATTTAACTGAATACTTGAAACAGTAGAAATATTGGAGGTCATAATTTGTTCTTAAGATAAAATGCATTGACAGGATAAAACAAGTAAAAGTAGTCAAAAATATCAAAAAGATTTAAAATAGATCATTTTTACTCTGCTATTATATATAGGCGATTTTCGATGCAAAAAATGCGGAGTTTCTTAAATGCAACATTAATTGTATGTCAGACAAATAATTTTTTTAAACTTCCATTTCTTTTATTAGCAGGCAAATCTAAATTACATTTGCATTAAAAAATAATTTTTTGAGTGCATGCTTTTAGCAGTTTATAAATACCAATGCATTAAAATTAAGAAAAAATTGTAATGTGGGAATGTTACTAAATGGTTTCGTTCTTTTGATGCCTAATCATAATTATCATAAATACAACCAAGAATTTTGGTAAAATAAATTTTTTTGACAATGACGCACGTAATTATAAAAAATTTGTCGCCTTCATTCGTCATAATGTTATTAAGAAATTATATATCACACTATTACCTTTACAAAGCCAATGGTGATATAATAAGCTTTTGATGACACTGACAGCAGAAGTCGAGACATTTCTTATCCCAGAACAGTCCATATTAAACAGGGAATTCCTTCTCGATAATTCGGAGTATCCACCAAGATAATGTATGGGCGTTTTTTACAAAGTTGTTCATGCAAGCATCGCTCCTAGTGGCCATCGATAATTTTAAGAGCCTCTTGGACCACTCGTTTCGGCGTGCTCAGCATCAAAGCTACTTAGTACAACTGGGTTTTGTGCCAAAAACTTTGACGACGTCTTGACGTTGCGAATCACTAACATTTAGCGTCATATGCATTAAAATGAAATATACATAAATTCATTTCAAATAAATCCATGTCACTTAAGATATTGCAGCTAAATCTCATTGTTACCTGATTAAAATATAGAAAAATTATTTTTATGAATGAATCTTTGTAATATGAAACAGTTTTGAGTTTTGAAATCAGTCACACCTAAATTAAATATGCATAAACGACGATGATTTGTGATTTATTAAATATTTCATGAACTTATAATATAAACTTATTGATCATATTGCTAAATTTTCCAATTTCTTTCGTATTTAACATTTGTAGTTTCAATTTCTCCAATTTTCATCGAACTTGCATACAACTTATTATGGGGTTATTGTCGAACTTGCTCATAAATCCATAATAACCTTACTAAGTTTACTTTGTGCTCATTCTGTTGTACCATGAATCACTCCTTATTTATTTCATAATTGCTGAATAAAGTCGTAAATAAAGCGTATATCATACTTAAATATTATTTAAATCTTCCTTTATTTTTCGTCCTTCAGGTGTTATACTGCAGTATCACTGCTTGACTTAACTACGAATGTATATTTTGGCGACAGATTTTACCTGGTGTGATTGTGAAGATGAGATCTATCTGTCAGTACCACTCAAAGGAGTGTCTTCACAAAACTGTGATGTTTTCATTGCATCAAGATACTTGAAAGTACATAGTATTTTGTATATGATAACCATTTTATGGTATCTTATAAGCAATATGTCTTCAATTTAGACGCCTTTCAATTTTTATATATAATATTTGTAGCTGACCTTTAAACCATACTTATTTGAATGCGTATTCTGGAAGGAAATTAATTTCGAAAAAAGCAAGATAACAATCAATAGCAGAGTGTCAGTCGATCTAGTCTTGAAGAAAAAAAATCCATCCAAATGGAATCAACTTGAAGGAGAAGAAATGGGTAAATTTTATTTTATTTACTCTATCGGCTAAGAAAACAAAGATGAACTAAGGAAAATTCGACAACTGTCGATCGCCGAAGTTCAAGCATATCAATCCAAAAAGAGTAAGAATGATCGCGAAGAGAAGCGTTTAGGAGAGAAGTCTTCCCTCCAGGCTATGATGAAAGTGAGTTTTAATCAAAATGTGATGTTATTTGGAGTATAAACTTATTATTAGATTGCTTTTTAGATTGAAGGTGACGAGCGAAATAGGTTTGAACAAATTAAAAAGCAGGCCACAGCGACAGCTATGCAAGAATTGGTGGCACTTCAAAATGAGAAAAGAAATCATTCAATTAATGTATTGGATTCTATCTCTAGCTATTTTTTTATAGAAATCTGTTGAAATTGAGGCGGCGCGAGCTTTTGCTCGAGATTATCACCAAAATTACCCAACTTCGAAAGCGAATGAATTATCTAAGGTCAACCGAATATTCCAAAGTGAAACAAATTTCGATTTTCCAATTCGAAATAATGATAAAATCACAATTTCATTTACTCCTCGTGTCTTTCCGACTCCAGAAAGGGAATCAACTAAAGAAGATGAAGAAAAGGTAGGTAATTTATAATACGAGCAAAAGTATATTTGTATTTTGAATATTTGATGGTGGAAAGCTTGACACTGATTACGTGCAAAAGAAGGATATTATTATCTGTTTAGAACAATTTTCGTCTAACTGCGAAATGTTAATTGTGGATTTTAAACTACCAGATCAAATGATTGGGCGAAGTGATTGGCTGTCTACATATTAAAAGATTATCTGAGAAGCATGTAGTTACAGAATCACTTTTTAGTTGATACTGCATAAATTATGTTGCTTTTCATTTTGTTTCATGCCTCTTAGTTCGGTATGGTGTTGGGTCGATTGGTCTTATAATTTTTTTTTGGATCAATATGGGCATAAACAAACACAGTGAGAACTGTCGAAGGACATTTTCTGTTGGCAATCGCTTAGAAATTGGGCAGATTTCTTAATTTTTGGCAGTGGGTAGTCGTTAAACCAGGAGTTTACTGTTATTCTAATTTTTCACCAGCTTCTCAAACCAAAGCCTTTATATTCCTTTATTAAATGTAATATACGCTCTTCATTGATTTCTTGTTAATAATAAATAATTTTGCTTCATAATGCTACTCTGTTGGGACACAATTACAATTTTAACTGATTTGTCAGTTAAGCTATCATTAATAATTAAGTGGAGTAGAAAAAAAATCACCATGTTTTGAAAGCGTATATTAAATTGTTGAATTTCCATCTAGCTTCGGGAGCGACTGTTTTTTCCCTATTTTAGTGGCTGCTAAAGCAAGCAGAACATCGACGAATTTTGGCTTCAAAAATAACTGAAAACGGTGATCTTTCGTCAGCTGAAATGGACCCCACTTGGTTGCAAAAGAAAGCGATGTCAGTATCAATTTAAAAAAAATATGTGCCATATTTATATGTACTTTTTTAAATTATTTTATCTTACTAGCTCCCTGTTCAAAGCCGGAGATTATGAAGCCGCTGCTTTTGCTTTATCGGAAGCCGTAAAGTTGGCACCGAAAATGCATTCGTATGTTCCTTCCCTACCTCCTTAATTCCATCGAATGAAATAATTAATGTCAACTTTTCCATTAGGCTTTACCTTAATCGCTCTGCTTGTCACATCCAAACGCGAAATTTCTTCAGGGCATTGGAAGATGCTTCTACTGCCTTGGATTTGCTTACTCCACCAGTTCCACAAAATTTGAATTCACGCGTCAAGGCCCACGTCCGTCGGGGTGTTGCCTTTTGCAATTTGCAAATGCTTAAAGAAGGTTCGTTTTATGTTTGCCAGTAAGCATGCTACTGAATCGGAATAAGTAACAAAGTGAATTGCTATTTATTACTAGGGTTGTCAGAATACGAGGCTGCAGCGAAATTGAATCCCAATGATTCGTCTATACAGGAAGATCTTGCTCGATTGAAAGAATTGACGAAGAAACGAGTAACATCCTCGGGTAGCAATGATTCGTAATCGACTTTCGTTTGATGAGTAATTGTAAGGCATTTAACACTCAGTTTTAAAATTGATCTTGTATTGCTCGATTTATGCTGCTTTGCTGTTTCTGAATAAATCTTCAACTGATTTTTAAGAGTTCAAATCCTCCTCCTTCGCTTCCAAATTTCCCTATTTCCATCAGGAAATAACTTTGATTGTTGACAATTTATTACCTCCCAAGTGGAGGTTTTGACCTCCCTAGGATTAACGCAAAGAAGGCGAATACCGATGGGCTACAATTTAATAGCCGTACTTACCCCCTAGGTCTAATTGCGACAAGAGGGGGGAGGGTTGGAGTGTAAAATGTGGGAGTTTTCCCAGTGGTCTACATCAGGGAGGTCGTCAGTTTCTCGAAATTTACCGAGCACCTAGAATAGGTGAATAGGGATGAAGTGTTTGGGTTTGGGTTTCAGTGCTTTCAGTGGACCGTCATAAAGTGCTTGCATGATTTTCCAAATGATATCTTCTCAGACGAAAACAAAGAGGCATGTTAATAAGTCCTATTGAATTTAAGCTGACCTCGTATTGCGACAGTCACGTGGATCCGATATTAGTTTTAAATGCTCGGAATCCGACAGTGGGTCTGTAGTGTTTTCGATTAGGGAATGGACTCTCATTTCTCCAGGTAGACTAATAGTTTTACCAAAGGCGAGTTCTCTAGGACAGTGCCTAAGGTATTTCTTAATGATGTTTTCAAATGCATACAGAAAGTATAGAAGACGTTCCTACTAAACTAATTGAAAAGCAGTTACTATATTGGGGGGCTTTTAACTGTCGTTGAAAACATTCTTCAAGTTTATTGGCGGCTGGATGTTAGGCCGTGGTCTTGATGTCTGCTGACCCTAGATGACTCAATCGTCGAAATAGAGTAGAGGTGAATTGTGGTAACTTGTCTGTTGTGATTGTAGATGGGACATCCAGAATTTCACGGCACTTTCGACATAGATTCTGATGAAGCATCGCGCAGTGGAATCACAATAGGCCAACGGATAAATTGGGCAATACAGGTTAGGATGTGAGTGAAAAATTTGAGGTAAGATAGGACCTGCTTTCGCAACGTGGAGATGTTGAAATGATGAACAGGTAGAGGAAATGAGTCAGAGTGGGCTTATGAATCCTGTTCCTTTGGAAATCGAAGCAATTTTTACCCTTTTAAGGAATGTCATGTTGAATCTCTTTTGCCAGTTGAAACGGCCAGTAACCAGGTTCTTGAAAGAAAGTTGTAATGTGATGATCTCTAAAAGTGGTTTAAGATTTTCCGTAGTAATATTTGCGAAAAAAAGATCTCCGCCTGACGTTCGAAGTATCACAATTGATTGTGATTAGAAGTAAGCATTTTAGACGCATCGTGGAGTTTAAAGTGAGACGAGATCTAGAATAGAAACAAGTTCCTGAGTATTCCGGTCATGGAATGCGAGTCAAAACCATGCTATTCATTTAGGTGACGACTAAATAGCCTCGAGTTAAGATGAGTTAACGTGAGAGGACACGAATTTCACACAATCATTTGTCTACACTACCTACACGCCATTTCAGAATCACATACAGGGGAATGTAAAGAGAAATCACGAACATAATCATCATCAGCATCAACTCAAACCAACCTCATCTATGAGCTACGAGAGCTACAAAAAGCCACACAAGAGGTGAGAAGTCTCATCGGCTATTTGTTTCACTTAAGTCAATGCGTGTGCGTGTTTGTGTTGAGGCTGATACACAGGAGAGGGGAAGGGAGGAGGTGGAGGAAGAGGAGGAGTGGCTTGGCGTGGTGTGGCAGGGGGGAGGGAGGGAGGGAGGACAGGGGAGAGCAGAGGGGAGCAGGGGAAGAGGGTATGGCACGAGAGCGAATAAGGAAACGTATCGCCACACACACTGAGCGAATAAAAAACATGCACGGAAAACGCACACTGACATGTTCGCACGGCCACCACCATTTGCCCTCATCCCCCCCC